TTTATTTACTTTTGGTTTTGTGCTCACTGAAGCCACCCGTCGGGACAATGAATTTCTAATTATTATCGATATTTGTTATGTTTATATTTCATATTATTAGAGACAATTTTCATGTGAGACTGACTCAGAACCATAAACGGAACATGTATACATATGTACTTATAGTACATGTATCCAATTAAGTATAAGGTGATTTGCAGATAAAGAAATGACAAACAATGTCGGTGTATGATTCTCTCTTTTTTTTACCTCATAAACAAGAACAATGTACTTTTTGTTTGGTTTATCAGTGAAGAAACTTAGCCTTGGATGCATAATGTAAAAAAAAAGAAAATGCGCCGCAGTCTAGGGGGTAGATACCAAACAACTCAATCATACACAATGAAAATCCAATCATTTTTGAATTCAAACAAATCTATTAATTAATCCACATCACAATCAATTTTGATTCATCCTGAAATGGTTTTGGCTCAGTGTGAATTAATAACAAATCAAAAAAATCATTTCAAAAGCGTCGTGGATTACATTTTTCAGTTCAAATGAAATGCGGCGAATAGTGTCTACCCCTTAGACAATAAGTCATTGTTGACAAAAAAAAAGTGCATTCTTGGTCAAATGAATTTGATGGGACCCAAAAGTTAGAAGCATAACTTATTTATTTATGTTTTTTTTTTACTTTCAGATCAACGAAGCATGGCGCAAGTGAATGCAACTTGTTCGCGCTGGTTCATTGCGGCAGATTATAAAATATAATATATGCCGTGTGGTTTCATATGTACATTTTTGTTTTGTACGATAACGATTACTTTGGCTGTTAACATTTATCGATCGAGGTTATAGAGAATGAGAGCCATATATATACTTTTTTGCAATTCATGGAAGCGTTTTGACAGCCACATAGCAAAAGTATGATATTTTACGTTTGAAATCATCAGTGGAAAATCATATCCCTGAACTCGATAAGTCGTTGTTTTTCTATTTCCTTTGATTTACTTGATCGCGCTGTTGTTATTTGTTCCTCTCTCTTGCTGTGAAATAAATGGCTTCCAACTTCATTGCATATTAACATAAAAAATCAATTAGAAAAACTAAAAACTGTGTGTGCTCGACACACGGTCGAGACTCTTCGGTATCTTCATTTAACAAGCGATGGCCATTTGATGGAACCAAAAGGAAAGTAGTGCGCATTTGTATGCACAAAGAATTCATTTGATTTAACTGTATTCCGTCAGGGAATAACAAGTGAAGCGAACACAACAAAAATAAGTACAATTGAAAACGTGCACAATCGATTCGAATAGCCATAATTTGACGTAAAACGCACATCCAATTAAACTTAATTTAATGATAGTTTTGTTTAATTTCTTGATTCCATATTTGATTTTCCGCCTCATCCACAATACTGCGTCATTAGTATTATGCGAACCTTTTGCTCGATGCTCGCGCTCGATGACCATATTGCTGTTCACAGTTATGGCATGCAATTGGCGTTGCTTTCTATAAATTCTAAACGATTCCAATTGTGGAAAAATATCGATATTTGAATTGCAAGCACATTCATCATCCGGTGGGAGCATCGGAACCATCGATACTAAATAGGTTTTTGGTCGACACAAATCAGAAACAAACGAATAAATGAAAATCAAACAAACAAAAATTATTATTGAATTGTTTATTGCTCCATTTTCAATGTTTTCATATGATTTATATGTTTTTTTTTCTGCTCCGATTAGGTTTAAATCAATTAGCTCAGTGAAAACAATGATGTTATATTTATAACAAGTGTCGTATATCCAAAGCCATTGTACGCTGTATGGAAGCGAGTCAATCGAATCGCTTTGCCTTAACGTGATAGGGCAAATTACATTGTCAACAATTGAAAGTCATTAGTTCGGTTTTTATGGAGACTTATTATTTTGTCTTTGATTTTCCTTATTTATTTACACTTATCGAACGACAATCGAGGTGCGTGAATTGTATTCAACACATACACGATCTCACATATAAAAATAAAAGCGCATAAAAATAGCAAAGACCGATTATCTCCCTAATATAAACGAGCGAGGCTAAGTTGATTGAACGCATTTGAACCGTGATCGAGTGTGAAATAAATACGAAGCACATTGCGTTTCTTTTATATCGAGAGCCCAAAGAAAGAAGTCGAAATGAGGATTTTCGCTATGGCAATCGCTGTTTAAAAAAAAAAAAAAAAAAAAACAATATTTTCAGAGATATTCGATGCGTCTAATCACCGGACAGTAATTTATTTTTAAAATAATATTCGACACAAAGATAACGAAGAGCGAAAATACAAAGTGATACATTAAATGCTATTAGTTCCATTCGATACATTTTGGGGACAATGTATGGTTTTGTTTTTGTTTGGATTTTTGTTCGGGAGAATTGGATTTTCATGTCATGATCAATCAATCAGTATTTTATTTAGTATATATGTGACATAACGCAATTTGTCGCTGATATCCGGTGTCCATGTAATAGTTTCGGTGCCAAGAACCATTAAGGAAAATTTACGAAAACCTATCTTACCATGACCATTAAAAAATGGTAGATTTGAAAACAAGGTCACAAAATTATCTTCAACGAGAAATGAAGAAAACAAAAAAAAAAACGTTGGAATATCTTAAGCCCATTTAGCTACGTTTTGTCGTGTTACTTTATTTAAAGTTATTTGAGCAGACGAAATAAAATCTATCGGAAATTCATTCGAATTGATTTTGCAAAAAAAAACTAGCTTATTTCAATTGTTTTTAAATATTTAGTCTCATTTTATTTTTAACTTTAATTTGTGTTTGCTATAGCAAAATTATAGTTTCTCTATCATCTCTCTCAAACTCTGCAATAGTTTTTTAAGTGGATCCTCTCTTCTGCTCTGGTTGCAATCGATATCATTACTAGAAATGCCCATTCCAGAACCATCTACGACCAATGCATTTTCGCTTGAAAGCGGAAAGTTAGGTTGACAGAAATGGTTTGATAATTTGAATGGTTCCCAAAATCGAAATAGCAAATCGAAGTAGTGTGGAAACGCATCACCATCAAATCTCTTCAGAAGATTGTAGCTCAGATTTAATTTTCTTAACTTTTGAAGTTTTGAAAATGTTCCATTATTTAAAGATGAGACATTATTATGTGAAAGATCAATTTCAATCAAATTTTCCAAATTTTCGAATGCAAATGTATCGATAGTATTTATTTTATTGTATGACAAATTAAGTTTGGTCAAGCTTCCAGCATTTCTGAAATGTCCATTTCCTATTTGTGTCAATTCATTATGAGCCATATTTAGTTCTTCCAAATGACCAAATTTCCACATTGGAAAATAAATAGTATCATCATGAATTTGACCAAATGAAATATCGAGTTGACGAATATTTTTAAACATGAATGTCACACAAGTGAAATCACCACAAGCCAAATCACCAAAATTGCATCCATTGGCGCGTAATACCGTCACCCATATAATTCATTTGCGGAGTAATTTTGACGGTGGCGGGACTGTGTGGAGTTTGGCGGAGATGACATACAAACTCTGTGTGTACGAGGGTAACAGCACTTCTATGTGTATCATTCTTACGCAGATTATTAGTAACTTAGCTGTGTGTACGGCTACTAAGATGTACGATTGGACAAAATAAATCTATGAACAGCAAAGAACGCTGTTGCACTCGTACACACAGCATTTGCATGCTATCTCCGCTGAACTCCGCACAGTCCCGTCATCGATAAAATTACTCCGCAAATGAGTTATATGGGCAGTTTTGCAAATTGACTGATGTGAAGAAGATTATCCCCAAAAAGTGTAGAACGGCAATCATCACTTGAATGCGTTATGTTGGTGTTGTTACAAATCAACTGCACAGATTCCATATTATTGTCAACAAAGAAACAATCATAGTTGACAGTTAAAACAGACGGAACAATTAACAGCAAAGCAATGAAAATTTTCATTATAATTAAATGTTTTTGGACAAATTTGTTCACTGTGTAGTTTGATGTTTACGATCAGACTTTCGTTAAGCAAGCAAGGATATGATTGAAGTTTAATTTTAATGAGTGGTTTTTCGTTTTAAAAATTGCTAGATTTTGATGTTTTCTTGACAACTAAGAATTTTCGACTGTTAAAAGTCATGTACATTTTTATATATTAATTATATAGAGGATTATTTTAAAATATAGAGGAAGAGGAAGTAGTTGCGTTGATAACCGTTGACCAAATCTTTCAACTATTATGTTAACATGAATATCAACTCACTAAATGCTCTAAATCTTTTATTCAATTATTGTGAAAAAAAAAATGTTTTTCATTTTGATTGGCATCACGCATGTTTGTTCGAAAAAAGAACAAATGATAAGTAAAACGATATAGATTGTTTTTAATCTCAAAGTCAACTGTTTCGGTTATGAGTTAATTAATACGAGGGGCAATCAATGAAATTAGTAAAAACTAATAGCAGAAATGGATATATATTTTGAAATTTTCAGTACTGTTTGCAATATAAGTTTGCAGATATCTAATATGCGTTCAATATTCAACACAAAGATAACCAAGAGCAAAAATACAAAGTGAAGCCATTAATTCCAAAAAAAGCGTTGAAAACGCTGTATGTTTTTTTTTTTGTTCGAAAGAAATTTCATTTGTAAATATGTGACATAACACGATTTGTCACTGCTATCCGGTGTCCATGTAATAGTTTTGGTGCCAAGAACAATCAAGGAAAATTTACGAAAACTTATCTTACCATTAAAAAATTGGTAGATTTGAAAACAAGGTCACAAAATTATCTCCAACAAGAAATGAAGAAAACGAGAAAAAACGTCGGAATATCTTAAGCCCATTTAACTAAGTTTTATCATGTTACTTTATTTAAAGTTTTGCTCAAAGTAGACAAAATAAAATGTTTGATAATTTTTGATTACAAAGTGTTTCATTTTGTATTGATATTTATGGAATAGAATTTAAAATTTGAGTTCCACTTGTTTCATTGATCTTTTTGCTTTGACTTTAAATTCTATTGTCGTGCCAAGGATTTTGAAAAGTGATTTCTTTGAATTTACCGCCGTCAATTAGCCAAACAGAACCATTTTTATCCTGGTTTAAGACATCAATAAAAGCGGCTGCAAATTCGTCAACTCTGTAAATACAATCAACAACGTTGATAACAAAAGTACGTTACGCAGTTGTTTTGTCTTTTGAATGAAAATAGTATTTTGATTACGTACGTTTGCTTTAAAACATGATTCAACTTTTTACTGGAATACTCAAACGCCTCCACAGTGATCACTTTACGATCTAAATCATTCAAGAATGTCGTCAATGTCACCCCTGGACATATTGTAATAAAAATTCCAGACTTTTCATAGAAAAAATTATCCTAAGGAAAATAAATGAGTCAATGTATTAATCAGCCTTTCAAAATACCGAATATAAATGAAGATGCATGTCAAAGAATGTTGTCTGTCTCTATTCTATTCTTTTATTAATGTAATCCCTAAAAAGCAAACTACGCACAGTCCATTCTCCAAAGTCCTTCAATTCATCCAATCTATAATTTATATTCGGCGGAGAAGAATGATGGACTTTTGATATTCTTTTACGGTTCAATATAAATAATTCTTGATGTTACTTACACCCATGCTTCGTGTGAAGGCGACAACACCGTGTTTGGTTGCGTTATAAACGGGAGTACTGAACTGTGCACAGTCTATTCCAGCCACTGATGAAATATTTACAATTAAACCACCATTATGGCCGGCTTCTTTGGTCATATATTCCATTGCAATATTATTTGTATGAATCACACCCAACTGTCTCAACCAAATATAAAATGTTTGAACAAAAACCATTTAATGTGAAATCAATCTCTTAAAAAAACATACCAGATTAACCTCGATTGTCAGTCGGTAGTCTTTTTCATTTAAAACACCTGCACACGTAACGACACAATCAATTGATCCAAAGTTTTGCTTAACCAATTTCAATGCACGCTCCAAATCATTTTTGTCACGCACATTTGTCAAGCAGAAAGTAATCGTTTTATTCGAAAACATTTCGCACAGAGACGTCATCATATCATCACAGTGATTGCAATCCAACAAAGCCACTTTCTAACATTCAAAAATCAGTATTCATTCAAAAATGTTTGATTTGATTTCCTTACTTCGGCGCCATTCCTTAAAAGGTTTTGTGTTATCGCCAATCCAATGCCTCCAGTTCCACCTGTTATCACCACATTCTTTCTCTCTGACTGTATGGTAAACCTCACCAGATAAAAATATAAAATTCAATCGTAATTGAATTGCATCTAGTTTTTTCCCGTCTTTCGGTTACGTATTATACAATCTTATCTCCTTTGAGTCAGTTGATTTTTCTCAGTAAAAAGACTGTGTGATCATGTGTAGTCTAGTTTGTAGTCGAACAAAAATTGTAGAGAAAAAATTCAAATAAATCCTATCGAATGATCACAGCCTGCTTTATTCACCTTTTTTCTTCAAAAAACGAAAACTTGATTATTATTTTTTGCCGTAAAATTTAGCCTAAACTTTTGTTCTGATTTGATTTAATCCGTCTTTATAAGGAGCTTAGTGAAATGCGTGGAATTTAAAGAAAACTATTTAACAGAATGTAAGCTGAATTGAAAAAAACATGCCACTAAAATCCATATTGGGGCTTTTTTTTACAAATTTTAACGATTAATCTGCAGCTACAAAACATAGACATCTTTTGTGCTCAAATTAATCGGGTGAAAATTTAATGTACTCATTTCTTTCAAATATCTTCTACAAATTCTATTTAAGGTGGCATTGACGATAACTTATTTTTTTGATTTTTCAATTTTATTCGTTTAATGGTTTTTTACATGCCCGTTTCTGAACTGAGTTCAACATTAAATATAAGAAATAAACATATTATTGTAACGTCGATCTCGATGAAAATTGCCCACACCCCGAGTAGCAGCGAATTCAATCGATCTAGATTTATTTATACTAGTGCTCTTTCTCATTGAAGTTGTCATGTTTTCATCACTTTCGACTGTGCTGCGTTATCATTCGTGCTTCACAGATGTTTCGTTGCGTGCAATACTTGTACTTAGTGATTGAAATAAACAAATCAATGTGCGTTGCTTTCATTTGACGAGAATAATTTATTATAAATGGTATTATGAAAGCCGATAAATCAAAGATTGTTGTCGATTCTCCTTATTCGTGACTGAAATGGCCATACAAAAAAAAAATCTGCGATATCATTGAGCTGATGTGGTGTTGCCATTTACATAAGTTGTAATTATAGTGAAAACATAATCTATTCAATTTGTGTGCATTTTTAATAAATGTTTGTACAAAATGAGGTGAAAACAGGATCCATTTTTATCTTTATCTTGTTTTCACATCATAAATACATTAGCACAGAAGAAAAAAAATCAAATGAAATTACTTTATAAATATACAATTGAACGAATTCATCAAAACCATTTCAAAATTATCAAAAAAATCCATTTGAAAAGATACGGCTAGTTGACGCATAATGTCAACACATTCCGAAAAATATTATGCAATTGATTCACTTTTACGATTAAGGTTGAACCATTGTAATTGCGATATGGATTGCATAGCCCTTGAAGAAATGCACACTTCAATAAATAAATGCCTCAAATCGATTCGAACAACTTGTTATTTTCGTTTCGTTGAGCGTATGTGCACTTGCATAAGTCCATAAGAATTCACTTTGGAATTGGTCACGCGTCGTAAATTCGTCAGAAAATCAACCAAATCGATTTCGATAAACAAGTCATCGCCGACTTTGACGCGTGATTTCGAAACGATGAAAAATGAATGAACTCCATTCCGGCGATTGATCGCTTTTAAATGATTTCGATATAACTAGACTTGTTTGTCAGATGAAATCATATTTTATGCTGTTGTTTATTACACAAACGCCGGTCAATGAATCGACAGTAAATAAATGAAATATGAAACGTTCCAATGCGAATTTATTTGTGCGGTGTATATTTTTTTATTTCTTTCGTCTACCATTTCATTGATAAGTCACATTCTCAAATTATTGACTTTTGGGTTATTGCACTTACTTTTGATTTGGTAATGATGCATTGAATGCATGCACACTATGCGACCAGTTAAAAGAGCCTTGTTATTTATAAAATTACAACCTAATTATCTGATAATAACATTCACATCCAAAATTCCATCTGCAGAAAGAAAATTCGTTAAATAAAATATAAATCCAGTTTTACATTAAGGACTATTTATGATTTGTGTGCAATATTTTCACGAATTTAACGGCGCTATGCCGCGCTTATACGTTTACAAATCAGACAAATATCATGAGCTTAATAAAGCAACTTCATTATTGGATACTCTTCATCGCCAACTAATTACCACCAATTATGAATTCGTTTTTATATTTATCGTTGGCTTGTTAAAATCTTGATATAAATGCCAAAATATCTTGTTTTCAAGGTAAACAAAGGTTATTTTTATTTATTATAATATCATCTTTTTGATTTCAGTTAGTTTCAGTTAGTATCATGCATGCGCAAAAATCTCATTTATCTGGCCTGAATTCGTCGTATGAAAATGTCTTTCAATTATTTATAAATGGTTTTCGAACAGACTTATTGCACAAGATGCGATGACGGCGCTGGCTGAGAAAATATGTCTAGACTCAACGGTAAAAATGCACGCACTTTTTGTTCAAATTCTTTAGGTTGTCCATTTTTTTTTTTACAAACCAAACACGGAATGCATTTTCAAGGCAAGTGCGCTCAACTGAATCTTTAAAAACACTTGCATAATGTTTCCATTGAATGGTTTAATGATTATATCTGTAAAACGATTTTTCGTTTGAAGACTCATTCGATGCAATAAAGCTTCATTCACTACCGGAACAAGAATACAAAATGAACGAAACGAACAAAATAAAGCTGGAAACATTGAAAATAGAAAACGTTTGTTCCAAAAAAAACGAAACAACATTAAATTTAACAAGTTTGGTTCTTTAGAAATGTTCACACTCATTAACACACTTATGATGCGGAAAATTTGATTTCTTCTAGATCTTTGGTGAATTTTAACGGAATGAAAAAAATCTGGGGAAAATTGTTTTTTTTTTCTTTACGATAACCGACAGTTTAGTCCTTGTATTATATGGATATAAATACTTGTAGAATATTCAAAAAAACTTGCAGCTAATATTTATTTATTTAAATATTTGAAAGCAGCTAATTTATATATTCGTGATGAAAATAACATTTAATCAAAATGGTTTTTACTGTATATAATCGTAAAAGTTCAAAAAGCGGAATTGATATGTTAATGGAATTACTTGTTTATAGATTTGGAAAAATAATAAAATTCAGTTTCATTCATCAAAACAACTTGATCGAAAGTGGCAGAGTTTGAAAATTTGAAGCACATCAATAAAGCTTCAGAAATGATCTGAACTACTTTGCTATTGACCAACAGATGGCGTTCGGCATTCCAAAAAACAGTAAATAAAATCGCATCTTGCATGAAGACCTCTTTAACAAAAAGTTTTTCATATTGCTTTAATTAGCTTATGAATTCAAGACATGTGGCAAATCAATTACTGTAGAATAGAGAATGACTTTTTATAAAGCTAATAAGATATATACTTACTTACTCAGAGCTATGGTGCTCAAAAAAGTTAAGAGCAAAGAAAAACGGAAAAATTCTGGGATTCGGATAGAATGGTGACAAACAATTTAAAATGACCCCTTTACAATTTCGAAAAATTTTGAAACTACCCCCTTTTGGAACCGCGAACGTCAGAAGCTATGTTCATACTATGAAGTTCATAGCCAAGATGTTTTTTATAGTTTTGATAGTTACTCTCTATTGAAGGGTGATCATAGTTTGTTGAAAATATGCACTGCTTTTAATGCATAAAAATATATTTGCTCAAAAACAACAAATAACAATGGGATAGTTGAAAATCCATTGGGAATAAAACTCTTCACATTTTCTCTGATAAGCACTGAATTTAAACACAAGTTTCGATCGAAGCGGTTGAAAAATGGAATCCTCTTTTGAAACGTTCATTACGTCGAATGCATCAATTTACCTAAATCTATATATCTCCTTCAATGTACTTACGGTGGTAGTCTGCATGCGGGCGCTTTTCAACATTCAACTGTTCTCGATTTAACTCGTTATAATTTTATGATAATAGCACTTACAAATTGAGAATAAAAACAAATCGAAAAATAAATACTATGAATGATAAAAGAGGAATATTACAATTTTAATCTGCAATCAATTCCATCGAAATTCGCAAACACTCCGATTTGATGTGTGCTCGCATTACACGAATAAAGAATTCGAAGTGCTTCTCTTGATATAGCACGCAGTAGTATATGTATGAAAGTATGAGCAGCCTTCAACAAAGCAGGCAAATAAGCCACCTAAAAATGGAATGAGAGATAAAAAAATGAGTGGATTTTTTTTGTGTTTTTTCAAAAAATCCCCGATATAGTTTTAGAAATGACGACGATCCATTGGCTGCCAATTTTTCGTTTATAACCGTCATAAGTACATTTTGTGAGATGATTTTTTCGCTATACGTTTGATTGCTACCGAACTGATAACTGTAATATTTTTTTTCTATAGACATTTTTCAAAAAAAAAAAAAAATCGAAAAAAATATCAGACAATGATTCGCGTTTAAATGGGAAGTTGTAGATAGTATGGAATGTTTTTCAAAATTGAAAAAGTTCCGACTCATCGTTTGAATTCGAAATGTCGATTTTTTTAAACTCTTTTCCAACTCGTATAATTACAAATTGATTAGGAATATTGCACGAGAAGTAGCACTTTACAAGGCTCGGTTGGAAGAATCGAGATCGATATGACATGAAATCATCTCTATTTCAGAGTAAATTTAGTCAAACTACTTTTCGTCTTTTGGAACCACACTTAAGCATATATACCGAAATTCTGTAATGTATGCAGTAAAAATACTGACCACCGTCAATGTAGAATCAAAGGTCGTTTTATCTGTATGGTATTGAAATGCTTGCCAAAGTTTCAATTCAAAAAAGAAATGGTTGAATGGACATTATAAGTTTATATGAAGAGCATATTTCGCTTTTGCACGTGCAATTTGTTAATCTTGTGTCAGGATGTAGCTACAAAAAAGTCCTTCGCATAATCTATTTCATTTGTAAAATTTGTTGCTGTTAAACTTTACGTTACGAATAAATTTTATTTGATTTGCAGACAGTAATAGCATATCAAAAACTTGCACCAAACGAGCTGATGGTTTATTAGAGAGGAACGAAGTTCATTGTATTTTATTCGATGGAAATTGGTCAAATTGATCAACAAACGGCGATTTATATGCCGACTGAGCAACGAGTGAAAAAGACATTATTAGTGACGTTGATGTTTTTATTATTTATGTGCTATATATTGAAGCGTGTATATACGGCAATACAGATACGGTGGCAACAACAACCGATACACGTTTTAGCGCGAACAGCCGATACAGATAGAACACAAGCAATTCATTCAAAATAAATTTTGAAAATTAATTTAATGCAATTGCATCGATTGAATTTTAATAAAATGCACATATTTACCAATGAAAAATTATCGTTTATCGATTGGCGTTGTTAAATTTACCGGAAAATCGCCCAAAAGAATATTTCATGAAAACCCAATCAAATTTGATCATTTTTCATGTAAATCGATATATGGAATTCGGTGATTACGAATTGGTTATTTTCATCGCAAAGTGACCGCTCTAACCCATTGAAATTAATTTTGAAAAATAAAATTAAATCAAATCAGACGGCGATCTTGTTACTGCTTATTGTGGCATTGCTCATTGTTTATATTGATTGATGCTGTAGTAGCGTGTACTTTGCTTTGACATCGTACAAGTATTGGTACGGCCGTACTATTTGAAAATATCATATGTTCGCTTCGACGTGTGCGTGTTGGTATTTCGAATATTGGTACGCTTAAGCGATTTTTTTCTTTCACCGTGCTTTATTCGGCATTATGCTGCTTCCTCAGCAGCAAAGCACATCTCATTCGCATTATTTGCGTGCAGTTTCTTTTCTCTCTCTTGAATTCTCTTTTGCTCGTTGCATTTTATTTGTTTTCGCTTATTTTGGTTTGCCTTCAATATGCAGTGGAATTTTTTCAATATGGAAATACTTTCGTTGTATAAAGCGACATAGATTTGACCAATATCAACCAAACACAAACTATGACAACAATTTGCGATTGCTTTGGTTTGGAATGAAAATTGAATATGATATGCAATAAGGACAATTAATTGTAGTGCCACTTCAAAAGCTTATAAGCAACGCACATGCCACATAGAATTTGTGGATTTAAATCAATCAATTAGAATTAACTTTATCTTGGCCAGTGTTCATACTAAATAAATAATTTACAGTCAAATTGAATGGGCCTTGACTGGTGGCAGCTAAGTTTATCATTGATTTGTTGTTATTTTTTGGCATAATTTATGAATTGAATTCAATAAAATTCTCAAATTTTATTCGATGTACTAAAGGGTCCACATACCGTAAATATCCATCAATTCGCTGATTTTCAATAACACTTGTTCCGATAATATTGAAATCAATGTTTTCCGCTGTTCCATGTATGTCTTGTTAATCAATTGCATTACCGATATATTAGCAAACCAATATCCCATCGTCACCTGTTCAAAATGTGTATATGAGATATGACATAAGTGATACTTATAGATACGTGAATATATACATTTTTCTCGCTCTTTCTCTCTCCTCCATTTCTCTCTGTGAGTGTCTGTCTCCGTCACCATTTCGAAAATCCACTCTTCACTATTCAGCACACGATCCGTAATTAATTTAAATTGCACTTAATGCATCCGAATGCACTTCATAATAAATGTATATGTAATGCGTTTGTGAGCAAGACCAAAAATGTAATCTGCGCTTTTGTGACGATATTGACCGTGATTTTAGTCCAATTCGACTTTAAACAATTAACAGCCTTAGCTACGAAATCCAGAGTCAAAATGTTGAATATGGCAAAAGCATAATTAATAATAAAGTCGAATTATCTTTTTGTTTTCAAACTATTCAATGTGTATGTCCTTACCAATTGCTTATTTGCATTTGTGGGCTTAGTTATAGTGGACAGTATTATTGCCATTTTAATTTTACGCAAATCAAACATTGAAAAGCATTTCTCATAAGTCTATTGGCACAATTCAAAAGCATGCCGATTCTAAGACATCTTAATGCTTCCGTTTCGCTTATGTACAACCAACCAAACAAATACCGGCATTAAATGAAGGCATCACATGCATAAATTATTGAGTAGATTGTATACGATTTACTCGACATCTTCATCAAATTCGAAAGTCCAATAATTACCGAGTAATACGATTTTGGCTTCATACAAATTTCGCAATGAATGCAAATTATCTGCGTTTAATTAACTAATACGATGCACCTTCAATTTTATGACACAAATTTACTTGTCAACAGAAAATCGTCATCTATTCCTTCGAAATTATTTTACGGAAGATTAGTGCGTTCAACCGACGACGAAAGATGCACCAAATTTAAATTTAAGGCGTTTCACATAAAAATGAACGTCTTAGTTTCGTTTTAAAAAGTCAATTTATTTTGAGAAATTCGTCACCAATTAGAACAGAAGAAGGAATACTAATAATATTGAGAAGAAGTGTAAAAAAAATAAAATAAAAACAAGCAAAACCACAGTTGAAAGCCCAAACAGCTGTTTTTGAGTAGCCATGTGAAGTCATTTGATGTGCTTGAATGTATTGGTATGTACGTCACCTATCAAAAAATGTAATCAAAGCTGCTCAATGCTTAGACAACAACGGTACCGATGTGCTGAGACTTAGTGTTTTCGATTTCAGCCTCGTCTACATGCGAATGTGTTGTTGAGTATATGTACGTCGAAGCAATCGTCTCACTCACACACATGTTGATTTTTGATTTTCTTTTGCTTTATTCTCAGTTGAATGCCGCACAAACGATTGCTCATATTCTTGAGCCCAAACAAAAGTCATTCAAATGTATTTTAAAAAATTGATTTCAACGCTTAAATTTTATGCGATTTTAATAAAATAACATTCAATCGTCGCGGAAAATTGTCCATTTTTCAAATATGCAAAAAAACCGGCGAAATTCCAGCGATTTTCATATTTTTTCAATGTTTTTCACTTGTAATGGTTTTATTGTGAAAATTTCAACGCCAAAATATTGGCAAAGACACGACCATTCCAAAAAGGTAACGATCATCATATTTTGTTCACGCAAAAGGGTTGAAAACATTTTCCGAAATTATTTTTGAATGAATTAAAATGCACGGTGGTTTATATTTTTGCGCGGAAAACGTCTATATGAACGATGTGTCGCGTGAAAGCATGTGTCGTTAACATACACAACTCATGCGATCTTTTTTTTGTTCTGTCGATTTGACTCTCTTTCTCTATCTCTCATTCGCTCTCTATACAATCACGGTTTTTGTTGAATTGTTTTGATCGATGTTCGTGTATATAAATCACAGTGAGCACATGTCGACAAGTTCATATGTAGCCCGATGTGGTTATTGTTGTTGTTAGTACTGTTGCCGCTACACCGTAGACTATCATCTTATCATTCTCTCATTAACAATCGCATTGGCTTATGTTATGCTATAGATTTATCGGTTTCAATTAAATCATAGACGCGGATTATCGCTTTAAACAATATGAGGTCGGTATATGAGGCCTCCGGAGAGAACCCAAACAATCTATATTTTCTGTTTATAGTGCGTTTTTTTTATTTCTTGCTCTCACTCTCTTTTCTATTTCTATTACACTGTCTCGGCCATCGAAATCTAAACGTTCAATGATCGCATATCATGTAGAGGTGACAACCCGGCTCCATGCATTCTAAACATACAAAGTTCCTCAAAAATATTCTCAGGTACTCGTTTACTCATTCGTAAACCTTTTTGACAAATTCGCGGAACATTCCACTTTTGATCGCGGAACATTTGTTTTTAATATCAAATCCATGAAATTTGATTGCGTTGGCGATGAATGACTATAAATATCTTTTAGAAATCAGCAATTAAGATTGAATCGAGATAATTTTTTTTCCACCCAAATTTTGTTAGTGTTGGCAATTATTAACAATTGTTGTCATATACGCAAAAGATTAGTTTAGTTTTTTTTGTGTATTGTGATAAGCTGTTCCTGATTGATTTCGCATGAATAATTGAAATTAATACCAATCGCATGTCGAAATCTTTAACTATTCTGACTTGCATTTATGGTAACGATTGATCATAATGGTTTTTCTTCCTTTTTTAAAAAAAACTGAATTCATACAGATGTATTGAAATCAGTTTCATTTGTTTACATTCTGGTTTATACGTTGATACAGAAAAATTGCACAAAAATAAGCAGAAAGGTGACTTGAGGTCGCTTTTGATTATGTACTTTCCTTGATGCTTCTTCAACTGTGGTTAAATATAAAAAGCTATCGCTTATCAAAAGTTATCTAAACGAATTTTATGGAAATTCTTCAGACATAATAAAAAAAAATGGTTTATTTTGTTTAACAAAATTTGTTTTATTGCATTTCATAATGCAGAATAAGAAGAAGTAATAAGAGACCAGATTTGCAAACAAATAATTCCAAATAAATATTTGATCGAAAAGATCGATTCAATCTAATTTTAGAACAAACTGAGGAAAGAATGTTTAAAGAGTAGAATCTATATCTTGTGCGTACGTATTCGTTTTTTTTTAATTTGTTAAATCAAATGCATATTAGAGAGCCTATTGCATACTATGTGTCATGATCATATGTTTAACATTGATAACGCATATACGAACAGAACGTCAGTACAATAGGGGCTAATGTGAGATACACACTTACGCTTGTTTATGGGTATGAGTGAATACAACAGTAATCACCGCATACCGGCCAGAGTATAAATATCGAGCGCTTTGACTGCTGAGTATCAGTCAGCTTCTTGGCTTTGTACTAAGCAAACTTATCAAAAAAAATCTCACTGCTGCTTTTTACAAAGTGTCGGCACTTGTTAAATTCGTTAATCGTTTCATTGTTCATTTTTTTATTTCGCTCAAAGATAACAAAAAAAAAACTCAACAAAATGGTTGGAATTGTAAGTATGCAAATTGATTTATTTTTTATACCTTTTACTGTTTTGAATAGTTTTTAACAAAAAATTTGAATTATTTTTTTTATTTATAAAATAATTTTTCCGAATTTCTCTTTTCTAGAATGAAACAATTAGAAGCCCAAATTTGGTGCATAAAGTTGACTGTGAATATGAAACGGCAACTTTTGGAATGGGATGCTTCTGGGGTGCTGATGCTTTGTTTGGAGCTACAAAAGGTGTTCTTCGCACAAAAGTTGGCTATTGCGGTGGCACCACCGAAAATCCAACTTACAAAAATATGTAAGTAAAACATTTGAACAATCTACACTTTTAAACACTCAATCTCTCCAATGAACATTCTCTTTATTGGGTTCTGTGTGCATTTTTCTGTATATATTTTTTCGTGTTGAATTTGATTTTAATCGTTTGAAATGTTTCTTTTTTTCATTTCGTTATAGTGGCGATCACGTTGAAGTGATTACAGTTGATTTTAATCCGTCCGAAGTGACTTACTTGCAATTATTGGAGTTATTCTGGAACAATCATGAATATGGTCTAACAACTCGGGTAAAACGTCAATATGCATCAGTGATCTTCTATCACAATGAAAAACAAAAGCGTATTGCAAGCGAGAGCTTGGAAGACCAACGCGTTAACCGACCATCAGAACAAATCATCACAGAAATCGTTAAAATCGACACCATCTACACTGCCGAAGAGTAAGTTTTTCTTTTTTATTCTTTTATTAAAGGCAAAATAACAAACAGAGATAGAAAGAACCTATTTACTACTTTTTTCTTATTTAAAAGTGAATCGCTAACAAAGTAATCTCTAATTATTGCAGCTATCATCAAAAATATTATTTACAAAGTCACAAAGATCTTGCAAAAACACTCAGTTTAGATGAAAAATTGTTGAGATCATCGCATGTTGCGGCTCGTTTGAATGGCTATTTGGTTGGAGTAGGCGGTATCAAACAATTTTTGGACGAAGCTCTCTCTCTAGGTTTAAACACATCACAAAAAGATTACGTTCGACATTACTGTGAGGAAAACGAAGGCGGCAATTTGTATTGCTGATACAAAGCCATCTTATCTTCACTTATTTTTTTTTTTTTTTAAATGAAGAAATAAGCTCAAATTTATTTAGGATGTATAAAGTACAAAAGTGGCGATTCGTTTTAAAAAATTATTCGGAAATTTGCATGTCGATCATTAAGAGCGAAATTTTTTTATACGAAATCTATATAGACCCAAACATTGTAAGTTTTGGATAGTATTATACGATATAAGAATATACACAAATAAGCAAAAAAAAAATGTACATCGTGAAACACATGAAAACCAATTTAAATGAAGAACATTGTGCGCGGTGTTTCCTTTAAATTTCAATTGTACGAAGTTACATTTAAGGCCTCAGTAATAATGTGTCATGAGGAATGAATTTATAAGAATTTCAAAGTAAAAATAAATTTTTAATAAAATTGTTATTTTCAAAGAGAAGTTTTGTTGTTCTAGTATTGCTCAATCTAAACCATCTAACCCCCCATCTCCCCCTCTCTTATACATATACATATTTTTGTTTTCAAATTCGAGCACATATACGTGAACCTATTGAAAAGCAAGGAAAAGAACCGAAACTGTATCGTCAAGAAAAAGAAATATATTATTAATCTTGTTGAAAGTTTGAGTCGTGAATTTGCCAGCGAAAAATATGTGTTTGAAGCATTATTATGAGCAACGTGTGACAAACAACCACAGTGGAACAATTTATCAAATGGCGAAGAAGTAGTTATAAGTGTATTTTCAACATGTAAAAATTTTCAAAATTGGTTTCAGGTAAATGATGCGTCACACAATCAACTTCCTCTTGTTGTGCAAAGTATGTGATCGACTAGGAAAAAAAATTTTTTTATCGCGCTGATAGATTTATTGGGATGCTAAGTAGCGTATTCACAAAGTCTTACTGTCTCATTTATTGTGTACGTTAAATTTTTCAACGTATTTTAAACTTTCCAAAGATATTTAAGTGTATACAGTATATGTGTGCCGAATGCAGAAGAAAAATCCATTCTGTTATATGGTGAAAGTTGGGCTACCTTTATCCTTTTGCCATACCATGCCATCTGCACATGCTGAGAGTTAAAGAAACACAAAATATATATATGAACAACAACAAAATTGTGTAACATGAAAAATTTCTATAATTTAATATTGCGTACATGTCTTTTGCTCGTCGTATCTACTTGGTTCGCTCAAATCTAATTTAAATTCAATTCACCTGACAACACACTCTTTTGCTTGACGCACACACATGCATACAAACGTATGAATATAGACACATCGTTGTTGTTTTTTCTCTTTTTCTCAACTTCTATATGTCGCATTTGTAGAGATTCAATGCGTTCAGTGCATGTTGTTTTAGTATTGCACGCCATTCACTTTTTCATAAAAGCTGTGTGATCAAACGCAACGTTTCATTGGAATTTTCCTGTAAGAAAGAGGCTAATGAAATTTTCTGTCTCTTCTACTATGGGGAGAGATTTGTACACACACATACACATACCATCTCTGAGAGAGTCTCACTCGCAATTTTTTTTTATCATTTCTATATGCTATGCTTTCATCTCGGAACGCATTGCTTTCCATAACCAATCATGAAATAAATGTTCATATTCTCAGGCTGCTTGGATTTTCGCGCCTTATTCATTCTCATCCATCCCATTCAAATGAACTACACACAGTTAGCGCAAAAGTTAATTATGGTGTAGCTAATGAGTTTAAAATAGAGCAAAAGGACGGCAAATTCCAATGAACGAAAGTAGCGGAAGCGACTGAATGAACGATGTAAGAGAGCATAGTAAAAAAAACGCCTATCGGTATGCAAACTGTCAACGTGTTTTCAGTATTCAGTATATGGCACAAACCGGGTTCAACACTTCGATCTTCTGTACCGCTTTTATCATCGACACGCCGATGTCGCAATATATGCAATGATGCTGTAATGTGCTTAAGTTGTAGCACACTTTTCGCACCATACAAATGCAGTTTGTTTCAAGTTACCCAAAAAGTTTAATTACCGTCATTTTTCATCTGGATTTTGCTTCGCTTTAAAGTACGTGTGTATGCAATTTAAATCACATCCTCATCACATGATACGCATCATTTTACACGTAATTTTAAACCCATAGCGTGAGCTATGAGTCGTAAAACATGCAATTCAGCAGTCTCACTTCGCACTCACTTACAAAACACATATTAAAATTAAACAAGATGATTATTATTTTTTTTACGTTTTTTTATATAAAAATGTAGAAAAATACAAAAAAAAAAATTATTTGAATCGCAAATATAAATAACTATGAAATCTTTCCATTCGATTTCAATTGTACAAGTATTTTATTCCTATAATTTTTTTTGGTCAGTGCCATTCGTAAATGATTCTCTTTTCAACAATTGATCGAATATTCATGTTCCAGCGAGAAGTTCGGGACTGACGAAAAATAATAAGTTCACGTTAAAAGTGACTGTCATTAAAATCAGAGAGATGTTTTTTTTTTAAGTTTCTTCTCGTTCTTTTTATACTAAAACTCTGTGATTGGGATTAATTTAAGTTTAATTAAGACGGTAAAATTAAGTTATGAAAAGGAAAATAAGCCCAATTTTAATTTACATATATTTCCAAGAAGTGATTAGATATTCGCTAAAAGGAAAAATCGATGCGCTAAGATTAAAAGCATTTCATCCGTGGAAAGAGAAAAAAAACTTTGATTTTATAAGCTGAGAGTACAGTACAGTCCCATTTTATTGTAAATTTTTAATGCTTCACTTTAACTTTTCAATTTTCCAACGGTATGTATTTTCATTCTTAGCGTTTCGTTTATTCCTTTTTGGAAACACAGAAAATACCTTCTTTTTCTCTTATTACCTTAGGTAATTACTCTCTCTCTCTTCTTCTTCTTTTACATGTATAATTGTATATATAGAAAGAGTATTTCTTCCTGTTTTTAATGAAATCTTTGTACGTTACATGACTCGTATAAACATTAAAATCTCATCTTATTTCATTTTTGTTCGATTTTCTTTGAATAATGTCACGAAACTATGACGCGCTTAAAGCCATTCTCTGATGAACATGAACGAATTGATTGTCGTTAAACTCATGTCTTAACATTTATTATCATTTATCACAAGTATTATTATTATTATTTTTCGTCTATTTATTTTCTAAAGATTCAAAATATTCGTAAAATTCCCGGATTCAGTCGTCACCATCGACGTGAAATAATTATTTTCGTATTTATTATATTTTTATCTAATTGAAGTAGTATCAATGCTTCTTTATCAGTTAAAATAGAAAATGATCTCTTGCTCTCTCTCTCTTTTTTTTGTTTCGTTTTTATTTGTAAAAATATTGTATATTTGTGACAATGCACGTTATTTTTCTGGATTGTAATATATATTTCATTTCATTTTATATTATCGAAGGCAGTGAGTTGGTCTCTCAAGGCAAATCCATTATTTATTTATTTATTTATTTGTTCAATGTTGCGTTTTACGAAATGAAACTATTTCAGAAGTATAAAATTTGTGTGTATGTGAATGTTCGTCTTATTTCGGTTTCAATATTTTTATGTTCTATTTTCAATTGGAATTCGTATGCATTTTCTCATTTTGAAATGATATTGAAAATTGAAGTGCTTACTTCTAAAAATGTGTGTGTGTACTATGATGTCTATTTAAAAAAAAACTATGTAAACGTTATATGTTGTCGTTTGTTACGCAAAATGCATTTTTGGCCTGTCAACGAGAATATTGAATCGGTGATAAAAAAAAGAAAGAAAATGATTCAAATTCTCATTGTATTTTCATAAGATATTGAACGTCAAATGTGATATGTTATTTTCTTTTTGCATCAGATCGCTATTATTATCCAAGTGTATCGAAGAGTTGACGTTTTGTGTATGTGCTTTGGCGCAAAAATGGGAAATATACATTCTCGGAAAATTGCAACTATAGCAGCAGCAACAGCAGCAGTGACTATGACATATGCAAACAACAAACACTCACAAAAGATATGTAAAACGATGTATATATATATATTATTATGTTTCATTTTGTTTTTGTTTTTATGTCATGCATTTGATATTAAATGCGTTTTGGTATGGAACATCGGTCGGTGTGATATGAGCTATATGCACAGGAATGCGAACATTTCTTAATAGAAAAAATTATAAGAATTATTACATTGTAAAAGAGAAAATCGTACAACCATCAGAGAAATTGTTGTGCGATGCCATTCAAGAATCACGTTCAATAGTCCATAATGTATCATTTTGGTTCTGCAACGATGATTTTGAATACGCAAACGCACGATTTATACAAACTAAACGAATATGGCTAAAATGAATTCCTTAGGCTAATTATAGTTTGTAGTGGCCCTGGTTTGGCCACCCATTTGTTTTTATTTATTTAATTTTATTTTTTGGTATGAGCTGTATGAATGCGATGTGTTTTGCTCGCGCAATCATATCGACAATTTATGAATCGACTTAAATGTCTAACGAAAATTAAAAATATAAATCGATTAACTAACCAATTAATCTAATCTCAATGCGAATATATGCCCAATGGTCAAAGTTCATTTTGAAAAGAGATCATTATGACACGTGTGAAGAAATTAACGGTTTAATGGCACAATAGAAACGTGCTTTATTGCTTCTTATGATAAATTGTCATATCGTTATTATAAAACTAAGTCTCTTCTGTGCGCCAGGAGTACAATGTTATGCTATTTCATTAAAACTAAGCTCTTGATCTCTTTTCTTTGTCTCTCTCTCTCTCTCTCTCTCTCTGCGTAGAAAAATATTCTTAAAATCTGCTTTCTACTTGATTTCATCTAAAAGCTTCAGACGATATTCTAAAATCGATCAGTTTCGGCTTATTTGTCATATCATTCGTATCAAATTTAATACGCTAAATATAGAAAATGTGATAAGGGAGAATTTAAAAGGGAAAATTGTTCGAAAAATGTCGGTTGGGCTCCGAAGCGCATTTTCTCTCTAATTTTCGTCTTGTTTTTTCTTTTCGTTTAAATTAAATTACATTAAGTTTTCTATGCATTATAAAATATATCGTTTCCGAATTTGATTCAAAATCGGAAACACTCTGACTAGATAAAACTCATCATATGTTATTTTACCGTTTCAACGAAAGGGCAACATTAACATTTAAAATTCTTTAAAACTAAAAATTAAATGTCAAAAAATCATCAAAATATAGAGATAAGTTTCAAATAAAGAAAAAAAAAATAATAAAATAAAATTCAAATAAAAAAAAAGTTCTCTTTAAATGAAAACAATTGCAGAAGAGAATCATTTGAAATGAAAGCATAAAATGGTACATATAAAATAAATAAATCCACAAAAATAAATAAATAAATACGAATTTGTCCATTGGAATGGGAAGAGAGAAGCTTAAATGTAATTGACATTTACTAACGTTATTGAGGCGATTCCAAGAAATCAACGTCAAGTCTGGTTGTCGACGAAGAAATCAAAATCGCTTGATAATTCCTTGTTGCTATTTGTACTTAAAGTATTTGTCATGAAATCCTAAATCGAATCAATAAATTAGTATATTTCGTATATGTACACATAATTGAGTTGTTACACGGTGAAACTAGATGTGGATGTCTTGAGTGGAGTGGTGGTGACGGCAGTGGAATGGAACGAGATCACCCGACCGCACCGCAGATGAATCAGACTTTGGTGTGTCGCTTTGTTTTTACGTTGACAAAGCGGTGGTGTGTCGTATGACGGAATCTTTGGCGTGTCTCAGGTGAGCTAAGGCAGCAGCAGCAATATTTTCCTCTTCCGTGAAAATTTCACTTTTGAACAAACGAAAATGTGTTGGTGAACTTGATGGTTGAACTTCGTCATAGTCTCTGATTTTGTTATCATTATTCACATCATTCGATGAGTTAACATTAAATGTGAAGCGTACGCTCGATGCAATCGAATCCTGTGACGATGAAACTGAGTCATCACTGCAAACACTCTTGCTCCGTCCACTTTTGTTTGTTGCGTGATTGTTTGTTCGTGAATTTTTCGTAGCAATGGCATTGCCGTTTTGAGAATTGGCGTCGGTGCTTTTACCATCATCATTTGAATCACTGGCCGACAAAACGGTTCGTTTATTTGTTTTACTGTTTGGTTTATTGTGCGTCACTAAATGCTTTCGCAAATAGGCTTGACGCTTGAAAAACTTTCCGCACAAATTACATGGATACTGTATGGCATTCTCGTCACCAGCATCACCTGACCCATTTGAATCACTGGATTTTTTCATTACCTCTTCTTTCGGCTTATGCCATCTGCGATGCGATGCCAAATTGGCTGGACAATTGAAACGTTTACCACACTCTGGACAACGATACTCCAACAATACAATGCACGAACAACGATGTCTTGCCAAACAGAATGCATCGTCAAACTCGATTTGACACAATTTACACAAATAAGCGCCAATCACATTTGGTATAGCGGCTATTTCGGCTTTTGCCTCTTCGGTCACTTCAACAATATTGTACTGTGGATCAATGTCACCCGATTCTTGTGGAATATTGCCATCGATTTCATCAAGCGCACGGATTATGGTACCCGATACGGGCGACGATTTTTTCTCATCAAACTTCAATTTTCGTACGGCTTTAACACGTTTGTGCTCTTTAACGGTTGTTGCAACTGGTGCCGTTTTATTGACTGACACCGACTTTTGGGTTTTTGGCATCGAAGTCACTTTGATTTGTTTTCCATTTGGTGTGACTTCTTTTTTGACAAGTTTTGCTGGCGGCGGCTCAACGTCACTGTCGGTATCATTCTTAATCTTAGTTGTCTTTTTACTTGCATCGTCTTCCGTTTTAACAATATTCGTTTCGATAACATGAGGATACGGTCGCTTTTTTAATGGCGATCGTTGCGGCGAATGTGGTGGCGTTATTTGGCCGAGCACACTTTTTAGTGATAAATCCAGTGGCGTTTCAACGCTTACATATTGCAATTTAAAATTGTATGGCAAATCGGCTACCGTCGTCAACAGACCCGAATTGTCATTGCTAAACTTACTGATATTGCTTGAAGGCATCGAACGATATGATTTTGATGTGGCCATTGAAATGACATGAAATATTTCTCCAATTTATCACCTTCACTTGCAATGTGCTCCAATCTATATATGTCTCTCTTTATGGGTTATCCCTCTTGATCTGGCGTTGTCTCTTATTATTGTCTCTTTGATTCAAACTTTCGATTTATAGATTTGTTGACTGTCGCTAATTTGAATTTTAACTTTTAAATAAAAACTCACTTTGCACACATTTTATTTAATTATTTACTAGCACAATGAGAAACCGAGCAAATGTGTCTGCTTTCGCTTTTGATTTGAATAAAAATAATAATGAACGGCAAAACTCAAGCAAAATTAAATTTCAATCGAAATGATATAGAAATATTGTGTTTGTTCTAATGTGCGTATGTGAATTGTACGACGGTCACAACAAAAATGACAATACAATCGATATGTTTCTCATATTTATGCACTTTCATCACCCTCTTTTTCCCTATCCCAGTATGCATACACATAGAAACCGATGCGTTCTCGGCTCTATAACTATTATATTTTTCATCCACCACTATTTAATGTAACGCGCGCTTCAAATGAATGAATACATGTGTATATTTACATGGGGCTGCTTTTTTATATTTTGTTCGTATTATTTTCGTCTATTTCGTCTATTCCCTTTTTTTCCGTTCGTTTCGCTTGTTTACCGTTCGATGCTTTACGCTGTTTGTCCTGCATCACATTCACTCCGATAACTGTTATTTTCGAAATGGTTTTGATTATTCTCTTGTTCTAGCCAACTAACACTTGTGCGAGAGAGCACACGCATCAGCGTACAGTATGAAATTCATTGGGGTATGTATTCGCATTTCAACATTTTTATTTACTTAAAATAAACAAGAACTATAACCGTGTGCCTGTATGCAAGGGTGAGATCAACGTTTATATGTCTCTGTATGTGTGTTTGTGTGTGTGGTACATTCACAATTTATGCCTCTCTCTCGCTCTCTATTTTCGACTACCCCCTCGAATTTGAAGAAACGCATAAATTAGGAGTTGCACACATTCACGTAGATATAGCAGGGTGCTCATATTTATACATACGTGCGACATTCATTCAGTATGATTCATATTAGAACAAATGTTAAAACATTGCTATCTAACCGACTTGGCGTCAATGCATGTGAATGCACCCTATTCGATATGAAAATTGCAAAGCAGAGCTGAGCATAGAAAAATAACACACGTCTCGTTTGGTTGCTGTTGAGAACATCGACCGAAAGCAATAGCATTAATAACAATAGGCATTAAATAAGCAGCTGCCGAAGCGGCAAAATATTCCAATACGAATTTTTTCGTTACGCACCAAACGAACACATGCACTGCGTGCTTTGATCAAGCGGTGGTTTCTTTTTTTATATATACACACACAAACACATTACACATACTTCAAATTGTGTATAATTGTATGTGAAGTAGTTGGTAAGTTGTGTTTTGTCGAAAATTGTTTGTTGCTATCGTTCTGGGTATTTTCTGCTGTTTCGTGCATTTTTTCGCTTGAGTAAATTCGATGTGAAAATATGCGACCAATCATAATACGCTTGCGCGCTTACGATATGCGTACACAGCACAATGGCCACGCCTATTCTAAACGCTTTACGCATTTTCTAAGTAGAAAAGGTGTCATCTTAAGTGTAATGAAATCATCTTACTTTGTGCCGCCATAGCATTTCTTATGAGCAATATTATATGGGCTGACACTTGGCATCACCGATATTTTAGATAATGGCGAATAGAAAACCCATTTCGAATTGAAGTTGATTAATTTTTGTCTTAACTCAATTTACGTTTGCCATTTATGTGAAATTCGATATGCTGCAGCATGAAAAAGAGAGAGAGAGAGCAAGCAAGAGTGGTTGAAGTAAGCGCGATGCCGATGCGACCGTTTCATAGTGCGTACAACTGGGCCGGATTACGGTTTAGTTGCTTTTTGATAAATGACGATAGAAATTGCAAATAGCGCTCCTTCTTCTTTCAAGTATGTGTCTGTCTATTTATGCGATTTTCCATGGAATTACTCGATTTGCCGTTGAGCATTGCGATGCCACATGTTATTGCGAAGGGTAGAAATGAAAACGTTGAATAGGAATATAAAAAACAGAGTCTTGTACGCCCGAATGAGGACATTCCGACGATTTCAAACACAATTTTTATTTCAATTTCATTTGATTGTGGTGGATTATCGGTGAATATTCGTCTGTCAAATGAGTCAGAAATAAGAAAGATGAAACAAAATACTTCATAATCCGACTAAGAGAAAGGGAAAGAAAAAGAAATACGAAGAGAAAACGAAAAATTGTCTGTGATTGCCTGCGAGCACGAAAAAAACAACAACAACGTTCCATTTGTAGGACAGAGAGAAGTATCAGGCACAAAACACACGCACATGCTGAAAAAAAAATAACTGAATCTTTGGGTCCGACGATTTTGGCTTGATGTTACCAACAGCAAACGGCAATGAAATGGCAATAGCAGCAGCCAAACGCTGCTTTCGTCTTTCTCCCATTTTTCGAAGTGCACATAAAATGAGAGATAAAACCATATATATATGTACACTTTTTTGGCGTATGCAGCACATGCCAACAAAGTGCAAATACAGCTCAAATCGAAAAATCGCGTTTATCAAAATACTAAGCGTATCAATCGCACCAACATTCTTCTTTCTCTTGCTTTTGAATATTTCTCCCCCCGCACACACACACAAACACAAAATAATCTATGTCAATCACTCTTTGGCTCGACGATGAAGACGACGATGACGACGACAATCGAACGGAATGTAAGTTTGAATCTTATAAATGTGCCCGGTTTCGATGACTCATACAGACGTTCGTTTTCTCTTGATTCACCGTAAAACGCACTTATTGCCTTCGGTGAGTACTTGTGTACATAGAATTTGATGCATTCACAAATGGATTTACTTTGAATCGAATCAATCGTAATTCCAAAGAAACAAGATTATTTGTACAATGTACACAAGGACGCTTGGCTTGCTTAGATATGCGTGTGCTGCGATGATATCTTCTCGCTATAATACCATTTCGTTGATTCGGGTTTTTTTTCGCTTTACTTTGACCATTTTACTTTCCACTTCACAGTGGTATTTATTCGATATTCAACGTTAATTTCGATCGAAACTATTGTGGAATATTTATGCTTTAAATTTTTTGAAAATGAACGTTTTTGTCCATTCAGATCCGTATTATAATCTAATACAACAGTCAATGGTGTGTCATATACAAAGATTTTCAATTTAATGTGTCTATCAATATACCTTATTGCACATAACGATACAATATTCATTTTCCCTTTTGCTTCTGTCGGGTCACGGGTGAAAAGGTGCTGTTTGATATTTCATCATGGTACGACAACCACACGATCATGTTTTTGCGATATTTTAAAAATGAATGCTATTGTTATTGATGATTTGAGATTGTATAATTAGTTTTTCAAATATATTGTAATATATTTGTCAAAAGTGGTTCATGTGTAACGGTTCGGTGTGACACATGCGTTGAAAAATTATTGCAAAAGTCATTTATTCTAAAAAATTAAAATTCTCTCTCTCTCTCTCTCTCTCTCTATCTAGTATTATTTATTATGTACGATACACAATCACCCAGCATATACTCATCTATATGTGCGCCATTTACTATATAATCGGTAGCTGTATTCAGCTATTGGAAAATCGGAATCACTGGTCGTAAACACTTTCTTTGAACGAATTTTCATACAAACCGGTCGCACGAGCCAAACCGGAGCGCATCAAAGGGAGTTTTCGGATTTCTTTTGTCTGCATTATTTTTGGCGTGCGTACATACACAGCCTGAATTTATTATTGTGCTACACACGCGCCTATGGTTGGAATTCACATAGTGGCAGTGAGCAAAAGTGTACTATTGCCATTATTATTACTATTCATATTTTTTTTTCTCTCTTCTGTTCTGTCGATGTCTCATTTTAACGGAGGGGTTGCCGTTTTCGGCTTAATCTGTTTTCCTTGCACTGCATAAATACAGATATAGAGTAAATAGAAAATGAAATTTGATTTTGTATTAGATACACACATACGTAACGTTTTTCCACTTCACGATGTGCGACATGTCAAGAGAGAGAGACAAGAGTTGTATAGTTTTGTTGTGTTTCAAGCCGAATTATTTTGAGCTAAAAACCTGCAACACCATTATCATAAATTCTGCTTAAGATGACAAAAGAGAGATATTTTCCGTATTTCTATAATCTTCTCGTCCATTAAGTTCTGTGTTAAGAATCAATTGTTTAGCTACATATCTCCAAGTGTTCTGGTATATCGATGTGTTTTGTCAGAGTTTCATGAATTATGCGTTTTGGCACACGATAATCTTGATATAATTGTCACTTTTTGCGCTTGTTGATTGTGAGTTCCTTAACTCTTCAAAACAGTACGAACAACATCTATACGATTGAACATTGGTGGGTATAATTGTATATAGTGATGAAGCCCAGTTTTCGAAGGTTAAATGCAAATGAAAAATGAGATAAATCTTAATCTCCTTTGCTTTTCTTTTCGATTTTTAAATATATCGACAAGTACAGAAAGTACGGCATACTTGATGCAAGTAAAAACACTCTTTGCTGATCACATCGCAGAGATAAATAGAGTTTTTTCTTTTCAAACAAAACGTTCAGCAATTCTGTTCTTTTTTTCTTTTCTGCTCGTAATAATGTAGGCGAAACGATGTAATGCAACCCGGCGTTCGGTTTCATTTCATTTAATGCCTTCAAGTTTGGTATTTCGTTTTTATTTGGTCGTGCGCTTGTTTCGCTTAAATCTATTTTGTAAAAGGTTGTTGTTTTTTTTATATACATATTGTTTGGCACGGTATTTTATGCATTTTCACTGCTGCATTAATGAAATCGACGGGAGTACAAAACATAGCAACAAAACGACACCAACAATAGGGTCCAAACACATTCAACACTCTATAGATGGTAAAAACATGCGTCCACATTTTTATGTATGTTCTTTGTTTTTACTGCGGCAACTATGCTTCAAATTGATCGTCGAATCGGGAATATGGTTTTGTGTGTAACAATATTCGATTTAAGTTTTTCGCAAAAAAAGAATTTTTTCCGTGAAAAGTTTACAATCATTACAAATATTGAAAGTTATAAATGTTCTCTTGAATAGAAAAAAAATATCATAATTTATGTATATTATGCCTATTTATTGGCTGAGTATTCCATATAGGTTTTTGAAGAAATGGAAATTAAATTTTCAAATATTATTGATTGGTAAAATAGAAATACGAATTATAATTAGAGGGGGATAGTTGAATTGTTATACTAAGCAACGTGAATGCATTTTGAAAAATTATAG